GCGGTTATTATAACTGCTACTAAAAGAAATTCATCATGATGATGATGATTATCATATAACATTTTTTTACAAATGTTTTTTATGATATTATATATGAATGATGATCATCATCATTTGGCAAACATTATTGTTGTTCACCGTTTGTTGTTGTGGTTATTATTATGAAAATGAATTTCTCATTTCATTTCATGATTAGATTCAGGTTTCAATTAGAAATGAATAAAATGAAATCACGCATTTTGATCATCTTTTCATTTATTTTCCATTTACTTGTGAAAATTGTAATTATAATGATCATGTTTTTTATTATTTTGTTTTGTTTCCATCCTTCTTGATTTTTTTGTTGTTGAGATTCTTCTTGATTACGAGATAATAAACATGTTTGCCATAATTTATTTTGATGATGATGATAATGATTACCACTGGATATTAATGAATGATTGCAAAGATTTGTTCATTGTATGATGGTCATTGTACGAATTCATTTCGGTCAAATGAATCTGACCACCATTCAGAGCAAAATGTTTCTATGTTCTGTATGTAATGAAGAAAAATCTTGTGGAACAAGGAAACTTGAATGAATTTGTAACAAAAAACAAAAATGTTGGACAAGAAAAAAGGCGATGCTGAACAAGAACAAGCAAAAAAAAAAACAATTTTTTTGGGATGGGAATGGAAAAATATGAAAACAAAAAATAAATTATGTTCACAGTAGCTTCTGAGGATGTAATAATAATGGGATAACCGAACGAAATCAAAGCAAAAAAACTGTAACAAATCCTTTTTATTTGAGATATGAATGATGATGATGATGATGGAAAAAACATTTTGATGAATGATATGTGGTATCGATCAGACAACATCGTGTTGTTGATGATAATCGAAAATTTTTGCTGTGTTTTTTATATTTACTACTGATTTTGGTTTACTGTTAAAAATTCCATTAATTATCCACTGAAGTTGTTTTGTGAATGAAAAAAACAAATGAGAAAAACAAAATTGTAAATGTTGTTTTTTTTGTAAAAAAAAGGAAGGAAAATGATTTCAATTGATATATTCATTGATGATAAATGTTTGATTTGGTTAGTTATGTTTCAAAGAAGGTTGTTATTTTCTTTTTTGTTGAAAAAATGTTATTTTCATACACGCCTCTCTCATTTGTTTGAAAACAATTTTGTTTGTTTGTTCTGGATAATTTTATTTGTTTCGACAAACAAATAGAATTTTTTGTAACTTGAAGAAAATTTTTTGTTTCCAAATTCGATTCGATTCGATTCGAATGATCAATTTTCCAATTCAACTAAATAACAAAAAAATGATTGATTTTCTTTAGTTAGTATGGAAATCAAGATGTTTTTTGTGTGTGTGTATTTGACAAATGTTCAATACATAAAAATGTTGTCAATTGTCGTTATTGACCAACAACCATTCATTCATTCACCTATATCATTACCAACATGTGAATTATATCTCAATCAGAAACAGAAACAAACAAATAAATATCTCTTTGTAATCAATGATCCTCTTATATGTGTGTTTATTCTATTCAGAAATTTTTTTTGCCTAGTTGATCACTTTATTTAGAATAAATCTGAATTTGAAAATAAAAGAAAAAAACCATTGAGCAATAGACAAACTACTTACTACCGTTTTTCTTATTGTGTTTGTTTGTTTGTATCATTATTATCGTTGTTGTTGTTTTTGTTATTCAAACAAACAAACATAGTAACAACAACAACAACAACAATATAAAAAATCACCAGAAAAACATTACCCTGGCTAAGCTTTAAAGCTCATAATTTACTCCAACAAAATAACAACAACAACGACAACAAAATCGGATGACAATAGATAGAATCCATATAGCGAACAAACGAAAAAACATGTGTTATTTTCAATTCAATTGAAATGAAATGAAATAATGTTCATAAAGCCGATTTGATCAATTGCCCTTGCTCAGTTTCCGAAAAAAAAATACAAACGAAACTAAACTAACTAACTAAAAATACAATCGATCCATGTCAATTGGTTTTTATTGTGTGGTTCGGTACGCGCACAATACAAAAAAAAATATTATTATTATTATTATTGTCACCAAATCAAACGAAAAAAGGAAAATAGGAAGGAAAAAAATTGAACAATCTACCAGCAGCAACAGCAGCACTTGAAATTAATGGTTTTAAAGATCTTTTCAATTCACTGGTAGGAGTGATCAATCCAAAATGATCAATAGATCACGCGTTTCCCATTTACCAATTGTATTCAATCAGCAGCAGCAAAATATTTTTATTCATTTGTCAAACAGAAGAGGAAAACATCGGAAAGAATAATGTTTTTATTTTTTTTTTCGGTTTTTGAATTGAATTGAAACCAAACGAAAACAAACAAGCCTGTATAACAAGGACCCCTAAAGGCAAAAGTCGAGCAACGTAACATGGTTTTATTTTCAGCTTTGGTTTTTGGATCAAAACAATCGATATGATACAATAACAAAAACAACAACAACAATATGATTATGTTGTTAACATTATTGTTCGTATAGTTTTTTAAACATATTGTTTCAATGGTAGTTATTCAATTGTGTTCTAATTTTGTTGTTGTTGTTGTCATTGAATTTACCTGAATCGATTGTCAAATAAGCTTATTTTTTCAAACAGCAACAACCGATGATGATGATGTAAATAAATCAGATGAATAAATTATAAAACTTTTTTATTTTTCGTTACAAAATGAATATTTTTTTTTTATTTTAAAATAAAATCAAAATGATATTTGCTGCGCCATCTAGTATTATCGCGTTCAAATAACAAATTTTTATAAACACTGATCTTTAATTGGTAAAATGGAACTAATTATTATGGAATTAGTGGTAGATTAGGTAAAGTTCGAGAATGGAATGTTGATTGTCGAATTATAACAACCAACACACACACACATGTTTGACCATTATATAAATCAAGAATTTTATACTTGAACAAAAAAAAATTTCATTATTCATTTTTGTTGTTGTTCTTGTTATCATTAAATATCATCCAAAAGCTTTAAACTTGACATCGCTAAAACTTATTGTTTGAAATTCGGTTGTAACAAAAAAAATATGTATTCAAAATTATCGTTGAACATTATTATGGTTTTGATGATAACCATATTACCAAATTATTATTATTGTCAAGAAGATGGATATGAAAAATTGCCAACAAGTGATGAAGCATTTCATCAAGTTAGAATGAAAATTGAACCACAATTTAATATTTTTTTAAAAAGAAAAAATATATTTCGAATTTTGCCACCAAGATCACTTGAAATGCGTACTGTTGGCAATACTAATCATTATAATGTTGTATTTGAAGCCGGTGAAACTAGTTGTGATCGTTGTCAATTGAAACGTATTGAAAATTGTAAAATTGCTAGCCCAACAACTCTTTTTTGTAATGCAAAAATTATTGTACAAAAATCAAAACGTATTTATAAATTTCAACAAATTGATTGTAAAGAAAAAGAAAAAAGTGAATATGATAATTGATTTTTTCTCTTTCTTATTTCTTAAAAATTGATATTTTTGTTTCTTTTTAATATTGTCAATTTTTCACCAAAATAAAAAAAAATAAAAAATTCTTAAATTTTCTTGTTCTTGAAATTAAAATTAAAAAAAAATTAAAAATTGTTTTTTTGCTTTTGATTTTTTACATTTTAATAACAACAATTTAATCAATTGAATTCAAGCAAACTTTATCGATTTTTAAGTGCAGAATATGCTGAAATGCAAATTGATAAAAAAAGATTATGATTAAAAGTAGATTTATAATTGAAAGAACACCTTGTAACTTGCTATCAATTTGCAAATCGAACTAATTATTTCGAATTATGGTGGTGGTGAATTCGGTGGTAAGGTTCGAGAATGAAATATTGATGCTTGTTGTCGAATAACACTGTTGACCATTATATAAATTAAGCTTTCTATGCTTTTTGTTAATTTTATTTTTTGATTGAAACGTGTTTATTGAAAACAGTTATATTGGTAATATATTTATTGCGTTTACTTGTTTGTTTGTCCATAAAAACTAAAAGACTCGATTGGTATTTGATTGAAAAAATGCATTCAAAAGTATTATTCGGCATTATGATTATGTCAATAATGATAATTGAAATTGATTGTAGTGAAAAAAAATTTGAAAAAGTAGACGTATGGGATCCTTATTTTAGATGGATAATGAGAAAATTTCAACGAGAATTTGGCAAACATATGGGTTATAACCTAATATTTCGATTTATCCGAGCAAAATCTGCTGAAATAAAATACGATGACGAAACACATATTACGATTAAATCTGAATTCATAATTGCAAAAACATCTTGTGAAAATACAGTAATAGATCCCAATAAATGTTTGAGTGATGGTGTAGAGTATCTATGTAATGCTATGATTCATGGCAACGTTATGACAGAAAAATTCAAATTAAGATATATAGAATGTAACAAGATTAAAACAAAAATAAAGAGTAATACAAATTCTGTCTAATATACTGTCTAATGATAATTATATATTTTTATCATTATTATTATTATTACCATTTTTATCATCTTTCTCTTATATTATTATCAGTATTCAAATAAACATATTGAAATATCGGATTTTGTTTTTGTTTTTTGGTTTTGTTCAAATTGATCCATTAAATGATGTAAAAGTTTAACAAAAAAAAGTTAAATTATTTGCAAAAGTTAACAATAGATGGCGTACAATTCGTTAAAATTTCTTTTTAAAGAATTGAAATTCTTTTCATTCTTTTTTGTTTGAAATGACACTTTCAAACAAACAAACCAAAAATATTAATCTACCTTGTAATCGATCAGGTTGATTAATCTGAAAATAAATATCATATACTATTTTTGAAGAAATTGATATTTACCTTACAATGTTGAACTAAAATGTCATAGGAAAATAAAATTGAATTACAACTAAATCTCATATAAATAAAGGATATCCAAAATATTGAAACATATTTACTCAGATAGCTATAACAACATTGATTCAATCAACAAATCAATCAAACAATCAACTAATGTATACAAAAATATTATTGTATTTTTCCATTTATTTAGCTCTAATTTTAGCCATCATTCAGGCCAAAAATGATACTAATACTAATATTAGAAATTTTTCAATTTGTGGAGGATGGCAACCTTTGAATGCTGATGATCCAATGTTAAGAAGAACATTGGTAGAAGTTGAACCACAAATAAGTGAACAAATAAATTCAACACATCTTTTTCGAATTCAAATTCCAATAAAAGCTCAATATCAACTTGTTGCCGGCACTTTATATGATACAACATTAGCAATGGGTGGAACTAATTGCACAAAATCGGATATCGACAATATTTTAAATTGTAAGTTTTTGGAAGGCATTAAGTTTATTGAATGTTATGCCTTGATTTGGATTCAACCTTGGGTTAGTTTTTATCGTTTAATGGAATTACATTGTGACAATACGACAGATTTGACAACAAAGTAAATAACAATCGTCTTTCCAATTTTGTGTGTTTTAAATTATGAATAAATAAATTATAATTAAATCTTTTACTTCTTTTGTTGTCATTTATCGAAAGAAATTAAAAAAAAATTATTTTCCTTACAAATTTGACTGATAGATGGCAAATCAGGCATATAAGAGAACAACCAAATAAAACAAAAAAAAACAAATGATTTTTTCGAATTTCGGTGATTCAAGAATGGAATGTTGGTTGCCAAGAATAATAATTTTTATTGACATTTTCAACGAAAAGAAAAACATCAATCAAGTACCTTTTGATTAAATATCAGGCACTATTTTGAAAAAAATTGACATTTACCTTACAATGTTGAACTAAATGTCAAAGGAAAATGAATTTTAAACTAAATCCTATATAAATAGAAGGATATCCACAATATTAAAACATATTTGCCAACAGATAACGATAACGACATTGATTCAATCAACTAATCAATCAAACAATCAACGAACAATGTATTCAAAAATATTATTGTTTTTTTCCATTTATTTAGCTATAATTTTGACCATCATTCAGGCCAAAAATGATACTAATACTACTACTGATCCTCATCATACGTTTCTTGGCGGATGGCATCCATTGAATGTCAGTGATGAAGGGTTTAATATAACATTGCATAAAATTGAACCACAAATAAATGGTCGAATGAATCAAACACATCTTTATCGAATTGTAGGGGCTATAAAAGCTCAATATGCAGTTGCTGGCGGAATTGACTATAAAGCAACCATAGCAATTGGTGAAACTAATTGTAACAAATCAGAAATTAAAAATATTAAAAATTGTAAGATTATAACGGGCAGAAGTTATCCAGAATGTGAAGTCCAAATGTGGACCGTACCTTGGAATGATTTGTATGAATTAACGAATTTACATTGTGATAGTAATATCACTGATTATAACACCGGTTATAACACCGGTTTTATAAGTGGGTAAAGCAGCAGCAACAACAACAACAATCTTGGAACAGCAACGTTCATCATTATAAACGACAATAGTGTTGACATTTGTCTCTGCTGATGTCTGTTTCAATTTCTGTCATTCATATATTAATTGATCAATCTTTTTATCTTTTTCTTTTTTTGTTGTTATTTTTCGAAAAAATTATTAAAAGAAAAATTTCTTTACAAATTTGAATGATAGATGGCAAATCAGGCATATATATGGAGAGAGAACCGAAAAAAAATCAAAAACACAATTTTCAATTCTCATGGTTAGTGTTTGACCAACATTTTGTCATAATATTTTTCAAATGATCATTTTGGATTGTTTTGTTGTTGTTGTTAAAAAGCCTATAATTTAAATTGGTAACCACAAAAACTGATGATGTTTTAATTGCATATTGGTAAAAGATGTTTGTTAAACCTTCAATTATAATTCATTTTTGTCTACAGATTTTTTATTTTCGATAAGCGATACACACAGAAACAAAATCACTACTGTGCTGTGTTTTTGTCCTGTGTGTGAGATTCTATCCTGGGAGACATTTTTCCTTGTTTTTTTTCTACTGCTGCTGTCAACATTTTGTAGACATTTTGATTTCCGTTTCGACAACTACAATTGCCACATTAACCATCATCAGAAAAATCATTTTGGTGTTTTGTAAAATTGTCAAACGTTTTTTTTTGGTCAATCAATGGCGCCAAATAATCAGCCAACCGAAATGATCACTTTGTTGCTTGTTGGTTTTTTGGTGAATAATCATTATTATCAAACCAGAAATTCAAAACAAAACTAAAAAAACTAGAACATTTACGACATTTCAAAATGATTAATGATTTTAACAACAGCAGCAAAAACAACAAAACAAACATTAATGACACACGTAATGATAATGATGTAATTTGTAATAAACGGTTATTTTATTGCGATAAAAAATGTCTTAATTTTATATTCATTTTATTTACAATTTTTGTCTGGAAAATGATGTCCAAGTTCAACAGTAATCATCATCCTTTTTTTTCTCATTTTCAAATATCAATGAAAAAAACTCTCACGATACCACTCATGAATCTTGAAATTTATTTTTATCAATGAAAAACAAAAACATTTTTTCTGCTATTTGTAAACTGATAATCGATCTGATTATCATTGCAAACACTTATGTTGATGAAAAATCTCAAAAAATACAAATTTTTGTAAAAAAAAAATCAAAAATCTTGAGTTTGATGATGATGATTCTCGATTCGGTTGTTGTTGTTTGTTTTGTTTTATTTATAACACTTGTTGACCTTTTTTCCGGTTTTTAAAATGAAGACATTTTTTTTTGCTTACCTAGATACAAAAAAATATCTTTGACCTTTTACCTTTCAATTTGATGATAATGATAATGATTGTTATTATCATCAAAAGATCAATTGAAATTAAACCATGGTATGTGTGTGTGTGTGTTTGACCTATGGTAAATAACATTATTAACAAATTTAAATCATCATCATCGTTGAATGATGATGATGGATAATAATAATTTTCGTTGAGAATAAAAAAGAATGTCTCCATACAACAACAACAACGAAAATTCAATACATTTTCTTTTGACCTTCTCTGATCTATCCAGGGTATGTATCCTGAATGAAATTTTTTTTCTCGAAATTCTTCATCTTGTTGATGATGTTTGGATGTTAATTCACCTGTGTGTGGCAGGCAAACATGAAATATCGACCTTGTTGTCTAGATTGATCAAATTTCTTTATTAGATTTATATATTGAAAATCGTGTTGTTGTTGTTGTTGTCAAAGAATACAAATGTGAGATAATGGATGAGGTGTTGCATTGATTTGTTTGTCTCTATGTGTGTTTGTGTGTGACTTTATTAGCAGTAAATATAGTGATCAAACAATAGGTCAAACATTCGATGATGATAGTAATGATGATGATTTTCTTAGGTCTTTCACTCACTCACTAAAATTGCCCAGAAACAGAAAATTCCAATTCCAAATTGTAAATTGTTATGATTGTTGTTGTTATCTCTTTTCTTTAGAGAAAATTACACACGGACCACAGAAACAAACAACAATGACAAAAGGAAAACAAGTGAAAAATGAAAACAAATCAGTAACCAAAAAAAATGATGAATCGATTTTTCTGTTTATGTGTCTGTCTTTTTGAGAAGCGGGAGAAAATATTTATCAAATTATCATTATTCGTTTGAAGAAAACACAGAATCCAAATCAAAAAAATTATACAACCTATTAAAAGTAATATAAAGAATTGTTTTTTGGAAAGAGGAAACCATCCATTGTAATCCAATAGAATCCAAACAAAACGAAACAGAAAATATTATTATTATTGTTTCCCCATTGTTTAAGCTGTCAATTTTTTTTTTGATTTGATTCGATTTGTCAGGTAAATCATTTATTTATTTGTTGTTGTTTTTGTTTGTTTGAAATGAAAAAAAATTGTCACCTTTTTTTCAGGCCAAAAATGTAAAAAAGGTTGACAAATTCAATTTTCAATTGAATTTTCTTATCGTTTCAAAATTTTTTTTTCTTTTCATAAATAAATCAACCAATAAATATTTCAATGGTGGTGGGCAATGAAACAAAACTTTATTTTATTCATTTTTTCTTTGACAAATATAATCAGGAACAACAACAACAAAAAGAAACTATTTTGTTGTTGTTGACAACTTGTAACAAATTTTCAATAATAATAACAATGTTTTTGTCAAATTTTGTTTGTTGTCTACCTGGATGTCTTTATTTATATCAATTTAAATTCTTTTAAAATCTTCTGTTAAAATAGATTTTTTTTGTTTGAAAATAATAAATAAAAGAAAAAAAAATTATCAAGTCATTTTTTTACAATTTAATTTCGTTAACTTGTAAGAATTTTTTTGTCCATCATTCGAATCAATTTCAGCTTTACATTCGGAATGACTTTTACCATTAAGTTGACATTGATCAATTTGTTGATTTTTATCTTTTTTACAATCCGTTTCACCAATTATTATTGTTGTTTTATAACTAGTTTTTGATCCACTTTTCATTTGAACCGATATTGGAGTTTCAAGAAGATAAACATTAGTTGAATTTAATTTTTCAGTAATTTGTGGTTCAATTTGTTTCAATATTTTTCGAAATGTTGCATCTCTTAAATCTACTGATTTAAATTCATTCGATGAATCAGCAAATGTTACATCAAAATAGATGGCCATTATTATCATCAATGATGTTGCCATTAAATTTGTAAACAATATTTTCGAATGCATTTTTGTAGGTATAAATAATAATCGTCGTTGGTAATAAGTTTGTTATGTTTTTCAAAATGAATTGATTTACAAAATCGGCTCATTCATTATATATTGTCTTTCCAAACATTATCTGACATTTTATCATTTTAATTATTGTTTTTTTCAGAGTAGATGTTTTAATGTCAATAATTTCAACATATAAACATCAAAAATGGATAATAAACCAATCGATGAAATGAACAATTTTTATTTTTATTTTTTTTATTTTAGCAATATAAAATTTTATTTGAAAAAAATGAAAATGACAAATTAATGAAAAAAAGATACTCGATTAATAGATACATTGAAATTTTTGCAATGTATAACCAGCATTGAACTGTTTATAAATTTCAGCACCACAATATAATTGATTACCAGTAAATAAACAGGAATCAATATTAATATGATCAATATCAGTTTTTTTACATGGGGTTTCACCCATTATTAATTTAGTTTTATATAAAGTGTTTTTAACCCTTTGTGATTTAGCAGAATCAACTTTTAGGACTCGATAAATAAGATTCGATTCAATTTTTTCAGCCATTTGTTTTTCCATTTGTCTCAATGCTTCTCGAAATTCTGGATTTTCTACATCTATATGTTCCAAAGAACCAAACACAAGTGTTACATCAAAATTGATTATCATTATCATCAATGATGCTGTAATAAAATTCAAAAACAATATTTTCGAATACATTTTGTTTGTTCGGTTCAAATCAATCAAAAAATCGCTTTTTAAAAATAAATCTTCAGGTTTAAATAATCGTCGTTGTAATAACTATGTTATGTTTTTAAATGAATTGATTTTCATTAATCTCTCTTTATTTATATAGTCTTTTCATACTTTATTTTTACAACTGACATTTTTTTTGTTATTTTCAGGGTAATAATAGATGTTTAAATGTCAATCAAGAAATCAATTCAAACAAACAATAATAATAATGATGATGATAATTTATAAAAATTTGTTTCATTATATTTATAAACGGCTCAACATGGTATTTACAAAATAATAATTTTTTTTCTTCCATTGGTAAAATCAATGAAATTTTATTTGAAAAAAAATGAAAATGAAAAGTAAAGAAAATTTTAGCCACAAGAAATTTTTTCCAATTTATATTTACGTCTATGTACATACATTTCAGCATCACAAATTAATCTACCGTCGGTTAATTGACAAGAATTAATATTATTGATTTTTTTGATATCAGCTTTTTTACAGTCCGTTTCAGCCATTATTAATACAGTTTTATATAAAGAACCACCATTTAATAGTTTTAGTTTAGCCGTAAAAGGTTCTTTAATTCGATAAATATTTGTTGAATTTATTGCGTCACTCATGCTCGATTCCAGATTTGCCAATGCTTTTCGAAAACTTGGATCATTTTCAGCAATAAATATCCATTCATATCCAAATGTTATATCAAAATATATTGCCATTATCATTAATGATGCTGCCATAAAATTCCAGAACAATATTTTCGAATACATTTTTTCTGGTCTTTTGTTTTGTTTATTCGTTCAATCAATCAAAGTACACGAGAAATACGTTTTTTTTCAAATAAATTTAATAGTTTATTACTTGTTGGCTCTTAACAATCGAATGGAATGAATAGTTTTTAGAACAAAACAAAATAAATTTAGTTTGAACAAAATAGGAACTAATAATTCAATTTCGCCACTGATTATGCTTCTTCATCACATATATTTTATTTTGGCTTTAACATTTTATCATTTTATTAGTGATTATTTTGCAGAATAAACTTGTTTTGTTTAAATGTCAAACACACAGATTGTCAAATTGATTTAGAAATTTTTAATGTTGATAACAATCGAAATGTTCCAATATATCCCTGCGCCAATTCATAATATGAACATTACAACGTATATGATGACCAGTAAATTTACAGGTATAAATATGATAGATTTCAGTTTTGTTACATTCAGTTTCACCGTATAAAATTGAACATCGAATTTGATTATGTTGGCCATCTTCAATCATCTCAGCAGATTGAATTGTTTCAACTCGAAAAAGATTAGTAGAATCTATTCTGTCATTCATTTGTGGTTCCACATTATTCAATACATTAATTATTCTTCGATCATTTACATCCACTGGTTGAAATCCTTGCTTTAAAGATGTTATATCACAATCAATAGTCATTATCATCAATGATGATGCAATCAAATTCAAAAACAATATTTTCAAATACATTTCGTTTGTTCAAATCAAGCAATAATTTGTCGTTATTTATCGCCAGGTAATAATAACATCATCTAATAGGTATTCACAATCTATTTATATACCTTTTTTGCAGAATAAACCTTTTTTTGTTTAAATGCCATTTGTTTCATATTAATTAATTTGGTTTCATTTTTTTTGTTATTACAATGTTATCATCAATATGATACTTCATTTATGAAATTATGTTTTACAATTTTAATATTAAAATACAATCAATAATTTTATTAATTTAATCTTTAAAAAAAAACTTTAGTAATTGATTGAAACAAATTGATTGAAAACCATTTTAATGTTGAAAACAATCGAATGATTCCAATTCATACGTATTTTTATTTTTTCCATACCATTTCCGAATTTCGGCATGACAATGTATTTGATGGCCAGTAAATTTACAGGAATCAATATGATCGATATCAGTTTTGTTACATTCAGTTTCACCATATAAAAATGAAGCTTGAAATCCAACTTTTTCCATTATGAAAGAAGAATCAATTGTTTCAACACGGAAAAGATTAGGTGAATCTATTCTGTCATTCATTTGTTGTTCTACATTTCTCAATGCTTCAATCATTCTTCGATCATTTACACCGACTGAATGAAATCCATGCTTCAAAGATGGTGGATGACAATAAACAGCCATTATCATTAATGATGCTGTAATAAAATTCAATAACAATATTTTTGAATACATTTTGGTCGTTTTTTTGTTCAAATCAATCAATAATTTGCCGTTATTAATCGCCAGGTAGTAATAACAATGTCTAATAGATATTTGCAATCTATTTATATGCATTATGCTTGAATTTTATCTGACATTTTATCTTTTATTTATCATTTTGGTTATTTGCATAATAAACCTTTTTTGTTTAAATGTCATTTGTTTTTATTAATCAATTTGGTTTCAATTTTTATTATTACATCATTATGATACTTCATTTATGACATTTTATTATTTTTTTTTGTTGAAATTATAATATGAAAAAAAATCACATTGATTTTACAGACAAAAAAATTCGACCAATTTCCATTTATCATTTGGTTTTTGTTGAATATCAGCACCACAATGTACATAATGATCAATAAATTTACAGGAATCAATACGATCGATATCAGTTTTGTTACATTCAGTTTCACCGTATGAAAACAAAACTTTATATGTAATACCGTCAAGTGATTCTTTTTGAGCAGCATCAATTTCTTCAATTCGATAAAGATGAGTTGAATTCATTTTTTCATTCATTTGTGGTTCCACTTTTTTCAATGCATTATTCAACTCAGGATCATTTACATCCAAAGGTTTAAATGCATTCGGTACAGATGTTACATCACAATGAATGGCCATTATCATCAATGATGCTGCCATACAATTCAAGAACAATATTTTTGAATACATTTCGTTTGGTTTTTCTTTCAATCAATCGATTATTTATGTTCAGAAATGAATAATATGTGTGATAGGTATTGACAATCTATTTATATACATTTCACAATTTGACATTTATCATTTTAATATCGTTTTTGTTATTTGTTTAATTAATGAGCGTTTTTGTTTTGAATGTCAATTTTTTTTCATTCAAACGATTTGAGAATTTTAATTGTTACGGTTTTGATATTGTTGTTTGTTTCATTTTGACATTTTATTTTCAAAAAAAAACAAATTAAAAAATTATGTTATTGTTGTTTACCTGGTATATTCATGAATATTTTTTGTGATAATCAATTGTAAAAAAATGAAACAAACTTATAATTTGATTATTCTGGAAATAATCAAATTCATTTTTGTAAACATATAAATTCAGCCAATCCCCAACTATCATGCGACATTTGTCGAATATCAGCACCACAATCTTTATTCTGGCCAGTGATAAATTCACAGGAATCAATATGATCGATATCAGTTTTCTTACATTTCGTTTCACCAAATAAAAATACAACTTTATATGCAATGTTTTGTTTCGAATGAGCATGTTCAATGTCTTTGACTCGATAAAGATGAGTTGAATTTATATTTTCATTCATTTGTTGTTCCACATTTTTCAACGCTTTTTCCAATGCATTTTTCGCTGTAGTATCATTTAAATCCACTGGTTTAAATCCTTCCATCGGATCCGGTATATCACAATGAATGGCCATTATCATCAATAATGCTCCAATCAAATTCAAGAACAATATTTTCGAATACATTTTTTGTTTGTTCAGTTAATAAATTATTAACGGTCAGGTATAAATATCGTTTGATAGTTATTTTCACAATCTATTTATATGCATTATACTTGACTTTTTTCTGACATTTCATCATTTGAATATCGGTTTTTGTTAGTTGCTAAATAAATGTTTTTTTTTGTTTAAATGTCAGTTTTTTTATTTAATCAATTTGAAAATTATAATTGTTATGGCAATGATTATGATTTTGTTGTTGTTAAATTATGACATTGAAACACAAATTATCAACATTCATTTTACAAACACAAAAATTCCGACAATTTCCAATCACCAGTTTTACGAATATCAGCAACACAAAGTTTATGATTGCCAGTAAATTTACAGGAATCAATACGATCGATATCAGTCTTGTTACATTCAGTTTCATCGTATGAAAGTAAAACTTTATATGCTTTGTTTTCTTTTGAATGAGCGTTTTTAATTTTTCTTACTCGATATAGTTTAGTTGAATCAATTTTTTCATTCATTTGTGGTTCTAATTGTTTCAATATTTCTTCCAATGCTTTTTTCGATACAGGATCATTTAAATCAACTGGTTTAAATCCATCCATTACATGTATATAGTCACAATAAATGTCCATTATCATTAATGATGCTATAATCAAATTGTACAATAATATTTTCCAATACATTTTTTTCAGTCGTTTTTTTCAATCAATCAATCAATAGATGAATTTATAGTGTGAAAAATACATACCGAATCTATTTATATACCACATGTTTAATGTATGTGTATGTATGTTCTATTGATTCGATTAGTTCTATGATTTTTTTATTTGCAATTGTTTTATATTCAAATTATCAGATTAAATAATTGAAACAAGTGTATAAAAATCAAAAAATTTTAATTTTACTCAATAAACAATTCAAACGAATGGAGACAAAAAAAAATCAAAATAAAAAAAAAATAAAATTGTATGGTTCACAAAGGTTCACATAGAAACTTATTCAATTTATGATCTTCACGTCCAGATGGATCAACCCAAATTTCACAACCACATTGTGCTTGTTTGTCATTATATTTACAATAATTATAACGTTTCATTTGTGATTTTTCACATTTAGTTTCACCCATCACAAAAATAGCATCATATATAACACCAACCATTTGGAATGTATAAACATGTTGAAATGCTATTATACGATAAAGCTTAGTTGAATTCATTCGTTCAACCATTTGCGGTATCATTTTTTGAAATACTTTTACAAATTGTCTATCCTTTGGTGATATTTCTTGTAATGGTTTAAACCCTTGATCATCACAATAAATAGCCATTATCATCAAAGATGCAGCCAAAAAATTTAAAAACAATATTTTCGAATACATTTTTTTCTGTTGTTGTTGTTGTTTTTGTTGGTCAGTTTTTTTTCACTGCGTCAAATCAATTCAGAATTTTTGGATAAATTGTAAAAACATACACATAAATTTATAGTTTGGAAATTACAAAACAAGTTCTTCGAACTTATAAATTGGTTTTAATTAAAACATTTTATTTGATTTTATTTTCGAACAAAAAACATCAAAATTGTATTTTGGGTGTGTGTTTGAACGTGTGTTCAATGTTTCATTTTTTTGATAAAAAATACGGTTTATCTTTACATTCAATATTATTTAATTGAATATTAAAATTTATAGAATTTTCAACAATTTCAGCATTACAATATAAATATTCGCCTTTACCGATAAATTGACAGTCATTAAAATTTTTCATATTTTGTTTAGTACAATTAGTTGAACCCATTAATAATTCAGTTTCATATTGACTTTCATCATTCGTTTCATGTATAAAAATAATTACTGGTTTTAAGATTCGATAAATAAGTTTTGTTGAATTTATTTTTTCAGATATCTCGTTCTCCAATTCATTCAATATCTTTAAAAAATCTTCAAAGTCATCCATTTGCAAAATTTCATATTTAGACAGATCAGGTGATGCTTGACAATAAATAGCCATTACTATAATCAATGATGCGCCAATACAATTCCAGAACAATATTTTCGAATACATTTTTTTTTCGTTGGTTTGTTTCGTCAATGAATCAATTGTCTTTATTGATCGTCAGATAATAATAATATCGTGTGTGATACACAATCTGTATTTATATACATCTCATATATTTTGTCCTGAACTTGATATTTTATCATTGTTGTTGTTATTTATCGAATGAATGCGTTTTATTTAAATGCCAATAATTTTTTTGATAATATTTGTTATTTTATTAAGCGATTGATTTCATTTTTTTGACATTTAATTTTGTGAGAAAAAAACTGTTATATTCTTGAAAATTTCGTGTTGATTTTTCTGAATTATTGTAAATCTAGAACCGATTGAATTTGGATTCCTTAAATGAAAAAAAAACAAACTGTAGTTCTTTTAATTATCACTAGATGGTTATGCAAATAAACAAACACAAGCATCAAGAAAAATCTGCGGGAAAGCGTGGTAGGATTTTTCTGAGTGTAGTTTGGAAATTACAAAACAAGTTCTTTGGTTTAATTAAAACATTATATTTGATTTAATTTGATTTTTTTTTCTAACAAAAAACATCAAAATTGTATTTTGGTGTGTGTGTGGTGTTTGAACGTGTGTGTTTAATGTTTCATTTTTTTCAATAAATAATACGGTGTATCTTTACATTCAATATGATTTAATTGATGAATATTATCTTTAGAATTTTCCCCGATTTTAACATAGCAATATAAATATTGACCATTACCAATAAATTCACAGTCATAAAAATTATCCATATTCATTGGTTTAGCACAATTAGTTGAACCCATTAATAATTCCGCTTGATAATCAGTTCCATTATTCGAATGAGATGTTAAAATAGTTACTGGTTTTAAGATTCGATAAATAAGTTTTTTTGAATTTATTTTTTCAGATATCTGTTTCTCCATTGTATTCAATATGTCTAAAAAATGTTCGAAGTCATCCATTTTCAATATTTCATATTTTGACAGATCAGGTGATGCTTGACAATAAATAGCAATTATTATTATCAATGATGCTCCAATACAATTCCAGAACAATATTTTCGAATACATTTTGTTTTGTTTCGTCAATGAATCAATTGTCTTTATTGATCGTCAGATAACAATAATATGGTGTGTGTGTGTGATAGGTGATCCACAATCTGTATTTATATACATCTCATATATTTTGTCCTGAACTTGATATTTTATCATTGTTGTTGTTATTTATCAAATGAATGCGTTTTATTCAAATGCCAATAATTTTTTTGTTATTTTATTAATCGTTTGATTTCATTTTTTGACATTTGTGTAACTTTATATAACATTTTTAACAATTAATTATGCGAGGAAAAAAACTGTTACATTCTTGAAAATTTCATGTTAATTTATGTGAATTATTGTAAATCTTGAACTGATTGAATTTGAATTCCTTCAACGAAGAAAAACAAACTGAATGGTCAATTTTATCATTCATCCAAAAAATTCAATGAACAAAAACAAATTATCAAAAAACGAAAGAAAAAAGAAACTCGTGTAACACGAGTACGTAATAATAATAATAATAATAATAACCAGCAGCCCACCAACCAATCCTTAATTGTCAAATTGACAAACAAATTTGTTTTATTATGATTTTTCTTTTATTGTTAAATTTGACAACATGACGACAAATAATGAATGAAAATAAATACAGTCAACAATCTTGCTTTTCTTTCTTTTTTGTTTTCACTGGCGACACAATATTCAAATTGAATTGAATTGATAACAAAATATTCATTGATTGATTGAATCGATTTCTTTCTTTTCTTCGTTTGTTAAGAAAACTTTATTTAAAATATAAAAAAAAAGTAAAGTTAGTTTTTTTTGAAGAAAAATGATTGAATGGTGATGAACAAAACAACAACAACAACATGAGAAACATAATGTTGTTGTTGTCGATGATGATGATGGATAATGATTATAACACAAACACACACATAAGGGACAAGACAAAAAATATGGTCTAGGTTCGTTTAGTGTTTTTATTTATTTATTTTTCTATATGGTCCAATATTCATTCAAATAAAAATAAAAAATATTTGACTCTATAGTCAAACCAAAAAACAGTATTTTTTTTGTTTGTTTGTTTGGGTGAGCAGTCAGTTCCAAAAGAATTATATTTTATCAATTCAATTCAAAGTTACACTGTTGTTTTGTTTCTGTTGTTCATTCATTTTATTTTCTTTCAATAAAATAGGAAAGGTAAACAGAACAAAAATATTATCACAATATTCGAAATACAATACAATCAAATGTCAATCAAAAAAAATGGAAAAAAATCTGTCAATCAAAAAACAACAACAACAACAAATGAATAATTTTTGGACCAAACCTAGGTTCTAGGTAAGTTTTGTTCTCCATTGAACATCAACATCAACAACAAACCAACCAATCAATAGATTTGGTTTGGCGTTTATCAGCATGACAACCCAAAAACAAACTAAAACAAATTGAAATTTGGGAGAAAAAAAAATCTAGAGAAACTTTAGACCAAATGGACCATCATCATCATCATCATTATTATTATAAGGTAACGACCATCATCAGCGTTTCAACGAAAAAATTATTGTCATCATCTGGTTAATGTTTCAGGTTTTTTTTTTGTCAACGTTGTTGTTCTGACAGTAGATGTTAACACAGCACAGCAAAGAAAAACTGTCTTTTGTTCATTCAGTCAATCAAATTATTATTCATGAGGACATTGTCAATGTGTGGTGTGTGTTGGGTGTTTATCAATGAAAACAATAACAACAACGAAAATACTGTTGTTGTTCGGTAAATCATTTCCATTTTTCTTTTTTTCTCTTTTTTTATCTAATATAATTTTATTTTCATAATATTTTTTTCATCTAGCTCGTCTCCAGTTACTTTTTTTTTGGTTTTTGTTTTGGCCTTACAAATGAAAATGAACGAAGGGAACTAATCTAAACACATTCAATTTTCATATAGAAAATATGCAGGATTTTTTTTTGAAAAATAACTGCAAAATAAAAACAAAATTGGAATGAGATCGACCAATCAAAATCTATTACATTATTTTATTTTATTTTTAGTCATTTTTTTATCAATTTTAGTAATAGATTTTTATATTCCAAGTAAGTAAGTATAAACGAAAAGCAAAATAGATAGGATGTAGGATGATGATGATGATGGGTAGTAGCCATTATTATCATCCTACATCATCATCATCATCATCATCATTGTTGAAAATGTTTTAACCAAAAATGAAATTACTCACTCCTATAGTGTTAAATGTATGTATGTTAGTGTGTGTGTGTTGAACAACTGTATGGCGTCCTCAAATAATGACAACATAATGGTCCCTGTCAAAAAAAACTAAACAGAAAAATATAGTCTTTCGGTTGACAACAACATATAACACATTGTAGAAAAAAAAGTGGGAAAATTTCTGATAAAGAAAGAAATTTTTTGTTTCTGGTGGAAATTCAATTTATTTTAACACACACACACACATTTTACTCATCTATGGGTCCAACAAACCATCCCATTACACACTTAACACACACATGTTATGACAGAATCATTCCAGCAAAATACAAAAAGGAAAATGAAAATAACCGGGAAAAAACATCAAATAATAATAATGATGATGATGATTGTAACAAGTCCATAATGTTATTGCTGTGATGATGACCTTACGAATTGAATTTGTGTTGGCGAAAAATTTTTGTCGAAATTGAAAATGAAAATTTACTTGAACACATCGAATTCACACATCAAGCGATTTGGCGAAATTGATAAAAAAAAATTAAACCCCGGATTTTTTTTTTTTTGATTGTTCGTTCTTCCGATTGATTTTTTCCGTTCTTTTCGTTTGATTAAATTCTTAAATTAAATCTGTATATAGCCAATCATCATTGCTGTGTGTGACCCAATACAACAAAACAATAACTTTTATTTCAAATGTTTTTCAACATTGATCTAATTTTATCAAAAATTTTTTATTAATTACATTGAACAAAAAGATTTTTTTTCACATTCCATCATCATCATTGTTTAATATTTGTTGGTCCATTTTGTTGTGTTTTTTCAGTCAAAATTATTATCATTATTGGCCATATTGATTGTATAATCATCAATCATTGATCTTCAGAAATCGTCATCATCATCATCATCAACATCGAGAACAATAATAATTTTTGTCTAAATGAAAACACCACCACCATCAATATTGTGTGTTTAAATGTTTGAAAGACAATAGTCGGCCAATTCTCAAAAACACAATGCAATCCAAAAAAAACATAAAGAAATAAAAGAAATATTAATTCATCATTTTTCACCATTCGTTCTTCATTCTGTCATTCTTCTTTTTTTCGTTTGTTCGTTTTCAACAACAATAGAATGATGATGA